GAAACACATGATCTACCTAAACTGATACAGACTGAAGTCGAAAATTTGAACAGAATAGTCACAAAAGAAGAAATTAAACAGATCATAAAAAATCTCCAACATAAAAAAGTCCTGACCATATAACTTCACTGGAGAATTCTACCAACTGCTCAGAGAAGAACTGACACCAATTCTACTTAAACTATTCCAGAACATAGAAAAAGATGGAATGCTCCCCACTTCATTTTATGAAGCAAGCATAACCCTGATACCACAGCCAGGCAAGACACCACTAAAAAAAGAAAATTATAGACCGATATCCCTCATGAACATAGTTGCAAAACTCCTCAACAAAATTCTAGTCATTAGAATCCAACATCATATCAAAAAAATATTACATCATGACCAAGTGGGATTCATACTATGTATGTAAGGATGGTTCAGGAGCTCTGGTAGCACAGTGCCTAAGGCATTTGACTGCTAACCAGAAGGCTGGTGGTTCAAACTCACCAGTCACTCCTTGGAAGGAAGGTTGGGCAATCTACTTCCATAGTGATACTGCCTCAGAAACCCAAGGAGGGGTTGCTATGAGTCGAATCTGACTCAGGATGGTTCAATATTAGAAAAACAATCAATGTAATCCATGACATAAATGAAAAGAGAAGAAACACATGATCATATCAGTCAATGCAGAAAAGACATTTGATAAATTCCAACACCCATTCCTAATAAAAACGCTCAGCAAAACAGGAATAGAAGGGAAATGCCTCAACATAATTAAGGGTATATATGCAAAACCAAAGGCCAACATTACTCTTAGCAGAGAGACTGAAAACATTCCCCTTGTGAACAGGTACAGACAAGAATGCCCTTTGTCACCATTGCTATCCAATATTGTACTGGAAATCCTAGCCAGAACAATAAGGCAAGAAAGGGAAATAAACGACATCCAAATTAATAAAAAAGTAAAACTATCCCTATTTGACAATGATATCATATACATACAAAATCCCATAAACTCAACAAGAAAGCTACTGGAACTAATACAAGGATTCAGCAAAGTTGCAGGGTTCAACATAAAAATATCAGTTGGATTCCTCTACACTAACAAAGAGAACTCTGCAAAGGAAATCAGGAAAGCAATGTGTTTACAATAGTTAATTTACATCTTTTGATGGTTTAGGAATAAACCTAAGCAGAGATACAAAAGACTTATACAAAGAAAGCTACAAAAGACTACTGCAGGAATCCGAAAGAAACCTACATAAATGGAAGAACATACAATGGATAGGAAGGCATAATTTAACCTTGCGAAAATGTCAGTACTACTCAAAGTGATATATGGATTATAATGCAATCCCAACCCAGATTTCATCAACATTCTTTAAAAAGATGGAAAAACTAATCACCAACTTTATATGGAAAGGAAAGATACCCTGGATAAGCAAAGCACTACTAAAGAAGGAAAACAAAGTAGGAGGCCTCACACTTCTTTATCTCAAAACACAGCTATAGTAGTTAAAATAGTCTGGTCGACAAAAACAAATACAAACAATAACAACAACAACCAAAACACAGCCTGGTATAGATACAACAGTCACATTGTTGTTGTTGTTGTTGTTATGTGCCGTCGAGTCAGCCCTGACTCATAGCGACCCCTCCTTGGGTTTCCGAGGCAGTATCACTATGGAAGTAGATTGCCCCATCTTCCTTCCGAGGAGTGGCTGGTGGGTTTGAACCGCCAGCCTTCTGGTTAGCAGTCAAGTGCCTTAGCCACTATGCTACCAGAGCTCCCCAATAGTCACATAGACCTGTGGAATTGTGAACCCAGAAGTAAATCCATCTACCTATGGGCAGCTGATCTTCGACAAAGGGCCAAAATCCATTAAGTGAAGAACAGATAGTCTTTTTAACAAACGGTGCTGGCAAAACTGGATAGCCATTTGCAGAAAAAATGAAACAAGATCCATACCTCATACTATTACAAAAACTAACTCAAGGTGAATCAAAGACCTAAATGTAAAACATAAAACTATAAAGATCATCAAAGAAAAAAATAGGGTCTTTAATTTATGACAAAAATTCACCATCGACCATAACCAAAAATGCACAAACAGCAGACTGGGCTATCCTAAAAATTAAACACTTTATGCACATCAAAAGACTTCTCCAAAAGAGTAAAAAGAGAACCTACAGACTGGGAAAAATTTTTGGCAATGAAATAGCTGACAAAGGACTAATCTCTAAAATTTGTAGAAAAATTCAACATCTTAACAACAAAAAGGCAAAAAAATCCAATTAAAAAATGAGCAAAAGATATTAACAAATCCTTCACCCAAGAAGACATTCAGGCGGCCAACAGACACATGAAGAAATGCTCACAATCAGCCATTAGCGAGATGGTTCAAAGTGATATATGGATTATAATGCAAATCAAAACAATGACATATCATCTCACCCCAGCAATAATAGCAAGGTCAAAAAAACAGAAAACAACAAATGCTGGTGAGGGTGTGAAGAGATTAGAACCCTCATACACTGCTGGTGGGACTGTAAAATGGCACAACTGTGGAGAATGGTATGGTACTTCCTTAGAAAGCTGGAAATAGAAATATTGTATGATCCAGCAATCCCTCTACTAGGTATATATCCTTGAGAAATAAGAACTACGATGAATAGATATATGCACACCATGTTCATGGCAGCATTATTCACAGCAGCAAAAAGTTGGAAACAACCTAAGTGCTCATCACAGACAAATGGATAAACAAACTATGTACATATAAACAATAGAATACTATGTAACATTAAAGAATAATGATGAATCCATGAAACATCTCATTAACATGGACGAACTTGGAGGACATTATGCTGAGTGAAATAAATCAATCACAAAAGGACAAATATTGTAAGAGATCACTATTCTAAAAAGTCAAGAATAGGTTTATATATAGAAAGAACATTCTTTGTTGGTTAGCAAGGATATGAGTGGAAGTGAGGGAAAATCTGTGTAGAAAGTGGATATGTTTTAACTTGGGTGAGGGGAAAGGCAATATACAATAAGGGAGAGGTCTACACAGTATGACTGTTTTGGTTCTCTTGTGCTGCTCTTACAGAAATACCACAAATATATGGCTTGAATAAGCAGGGATTTATTCTCTTAGTTTAGGAGGCTAGAAGTTTGAGTTCAAAGTGCCAGCTGTAGAGGCTGGGTGAAGGAAGGCCCCATGACTTTGGGCTTTTAGCTCTGCCTCTTGCTCCTGGCCCACTGGAGCTAGAGGCTTCTCTTAACTCAGGTAGCTGCTGGCTGCTGAGGCTGGCAAACCCAAGGTCAACAAGTAAAATGGCACAATCCCAAGATTATTAAGCAATGTAACAGGCCACTAGTTCAAGTTTGGAAACAGTCCCAAGATTGGCAGGCAACCGTGGGAGGCTGCTGAATGACAACTTGGCTACATGCAGGATCGAGATGTGCCAAAAGCTCGAGACCATTTCCAAAGCTTCTCTTTATATACTGGAAGCAGATCACATCCCTAAAGCAGCTACTCAGGTGCTCGTAGTAGATTCTACCAGTCTCATCATGGGGAATAATGACATGCAGCTGCCAGGCCACTCAAAACCAGGCCCAGCCAAGTTGACATATAATGTTAGCTACCATAATGACCAAGACAAAGGAAGACACTTGGAAGTGTACACGAGTTAAAGACAACAAAAGTAAATACTGTTACATACACAATCCTGCAATAACAGTAATAACAATCACCTATGAATAGGGAGCTCTGGTAGCATAGTGGCTAAGGCACTTGACTGCTAACCAGAGGGCTGGCAGTTCAAACCCACCAGCCACTCCTCGGAAGGAAGATGGGGCAATCTACTTCCGTAGTGGTACTGCCTCGGAAACCCAAGGAGGGGTTGCTATGAGTCGGGTCTGACTCGATGGCACATAACAACAACATGAGTAGATACATAGGTAGACACACCAGATACATAGGTTTGGTAGAGGATATTTCTGCACATATATGTATTGTATGTGGTGCAAATATATCCATCTATATAGTAGAGCATATAAGGGGCAAAATTATGAAAACTTCTTAATCATAAGCAAACATCTTGAAGGAATGAGTCACTGAGCTTGGGGAGTTAGGACCATAGTCTCAGGAGATATCTATGTCAATTGACATAACTTAGTTCAAAGAGACAATGTTCTACATCTCACCTTGGTGAGTAGCAGCTGGGGTTTCAAAAGCTTTGGCGTGGCCATCTAAGATGCAAACTATTGGTCTCTCCCCATCTGGAGCAAAGGAGGGTGAAGAAAATCAAAGCTGTAAGGAAACAATTAGTCCAAATAACTAATCCCTCACCCTCCACTACCCTGAGACTAGAAGAACTAGATGGTGCTGGCTACTACTACCAACTGCTCTGATCAAGATCAAAATAGAAGGTTCTAAACAGAGTGGGAGAAAAATGTGGAACAATACTCAAAGTCATAAAGAAAACCAGACTTACTTGTCTCATAGAGACTGCTGGAATCCCTGAGACTATTGCCTTTAGAAACCATTCAAATTTGGAACTGAACTCACCCCCAGGAATCAAGTTTGAGCCAAACAATAGGCCTATGAAGTGAATGACAGTACCCAAGAGGAACTGCTCCTCAGAATAATCAACCATAAGTGATCAAAAAGGCAGAATTTGCCCAATAACAAAGCCAAGAGGCAGGAAGGGATAGGAAAAAAGGACTAATGGAAATGAATGAACCAGGGAGGAAGTGGGAAGAGTGCTGTTACGTTTAGGGGATTGCAACTAATATCATGAAAGAAAATGTTATGAATTGTTGAATGGAGTAGTAACTTTCCCTGTATCACCCAAACCACACACACAATTTTTCTTTTTTCTTTGTTACTGGACTAATGCTTAGTTGCCCTCCAGCACCTCTGACACTACGTTTTATTTTCTCTTATATTGTATTGTCTCCATTTATTTAAAAATGGCAAACAGGGATATTATTGTGCTTGACCACTTACCTTCTTCTGGATCATTGGCAACGGCCTCCAGAACTTCATTGGTCATGGATTCATTTAAACTCAGTCGTCTCTTCTTCAGAATCTTCCCTTTGTCTGTCACCAGTGCCATACTCTCGTTGAAGGTAAGCATGTGTGTCTTAGAGGTTTCACAGGCACTCTGTGACATCAATTTATCCATGCAGACCTCATGAAGTGGGCCATAGCTTGCATCATAGAAAGATTTCTGTTAAGATGGAAAATGAAAATTGAGAGGCTGCTGTGACCATGGAATAAGCACCTTTTAGTCAGAGCATTGTCCAGCAGACTTATTGAAAAGGATCTCCATTTTGATCCTGAGTAACTCATGTTTCATCACTCTCCCTGCTCTTTCCTGTCCTCCTTTAAACCTCCTTTTCTTCACCCCCTCCTTGTTTCCCTGTTTCTTTCTTCTAGTATTTCACTAGAAAGATGTGATCTCTTGGGAAGACTTTGTCATCCACCTGTAAAGACACACAACTGAGATGTAATTACATGTAAATGATTTTAGTGAGTGGTAGTGTTTAACTAAGTTCCTCCTGAGAAGGTTAATCTCTGCTTTAGAAATGTTCCTCTGAGAACAGCTTTTGACTCCATGTGAGTAGCTTCAGATTTTTCACTTTGAAATGTCTTGCTTCCTCTACCTCAGCTTCATGGGTTATGAAGTTTTATGAGCCCTCTGTGCAATCTAATTCCTTAGTGATACCACCTCAGAAACCCAAGGAGGGGTCGCTATGAGTTGGATCTGACTTCATGGCAGTGAGTTTGGTTTTTTGGTTTTTCTAAACTCTACTGCTAGTGTCAGAGAGGTTGCTCATGATATATCACTTCAGGAGACAGAGCCCTGGTGAAGTGACCTGAAGGGGCTGTTTTGGGATGGCATAATCAGTGTTCTGATGAAGCCTGATCCAGGAGACTCTGGTTTTGGAGTCTTCTCCTCAGAAGGAAGATGGGGCAATCTACTTCTGTAGTGATACTGCCTCAGAAACCCAAGGAGGGATCACTATGAGTCGGATCCAATTCGAAGGCAGTGAGTTTTTTGAGTTTTGTGGTTTCAGGAGAGTTCTGCTCTGTTCTGGGCAAAGCTGGTAAACATGAGTAATACTAGCAACTGTAAGTTTAGAGAGGTAGCTGTTCTCACTTATAATGAAGAAATGCATGTCTCTTGACCTCTAACAAGGGTAAAACAAAAGAACCTAGGGCTTAAGCCATTATTGTTCTCTTCTGATGAGAAACTACTATGTAAGAATAGCAATTCTCTGTGAATTACAGTCGTTTGCTTACCTGATTCAGAGAGACGTTGCCATTGTTGAAACTGTATTCTTCATTTTCACTGTCAAAACAAGATAAGGAGAATGTAATTCTGTTTATTTCACTATGGTGACTGAGCAACTTATTTTAATGACATTAGCTTTGGGTAACAAACACACATGGCCATTACTGTCATCTTTGAAAATTAAAGGACTTCTATACACACACATATGTACAGTAATTCATAGCTTACTAATTTGGAATTAGTAATAATCAGGACAGGGATTGGACTCTATCTGTGCTTTATTTATAAAAACTGGGTTTGGCTAACAGATTAAAGATGATTTATTGAATTTCAGGGAGAAAAATGCTAAGCTCAACCCCTTAAGAGAAAAGAAATACTTTTGAAGCACTTCTATTTATTTTTAACCAAATAGATCATATATTACATATTATTTTCATGTTTTCAGTAAAACAGATATAATAATTTATACTTGGCAAAATATCCAGTTAACATTTGATAGTTTGGTTTGTGTTAGTATACATTATAGATAATGTGAATACAATGCTTGCTTAAAATGTTCAATAATTTCAATTTCTATTCATTTATCTTTCTCCTGTGTCTGAATGTGGTTTGACTGAGTGCATGTACTCACACACTCAAATTGCTGTGTAGCCAATTCCTGTTCCTGATTGGGATTAGAAGTTTCTTTGAGAATGGTTTCTTTCTCAGACAGTCCATGAAAACTCATTTCTGTATCAGAGCATGTGAACTCAACTGAGGCTGTGTTTAAGTAGATAGTGAGATTCACCTAGGAGTCGATAGACTTTAAAAATAATTTTTTAAAATGGCTTTCTCCCTGTCAATGCAATCTCAGTTTAACATGCTAGATACTTGGTTTCTCTGAGTCTTCAGCTGAACCCGCCTGGACTTCAGAAGTAGCATGTATCACCACAGCCTCTGTTGGTGTGACCCCATGCTGGTCATTGTAACTGCTAGCCAGATTCTAATGAATCTTGATCCCTCCATTAAATTACAAGAGATAGAATTTACTTCTTACCTGTAACAGTCCTTCAGGTCTTCAAATGGGTCAGGAACTTTGGCCATCTTGATTTTCTACAACAGAGACCACCAGTGGCTGTCAGCTAAGCCAGCCTGTGAACTAGATGCCTGCAAGGGAACCAACTCTGTGCTTTTTGGGACACTTGATTGAATGATAGTCCACACTCAGCATTTCCCCTATTCTTCTTGTTTACCTTTTGCACTGTTTTTATATATACCTGCCTCTTCCATTGGACGGTAAACTTTTTAGAAACTGTTTTATTTATCTTGGGATCTCTTACATGCCCAACCCAATGCACTGCACATAGTAGGCATTTAGTGAAAGTTCGGTTATGTTAAAAATCCACCAGAATGAGATATTTGCCTTACACAGATGTTAAGAAAAAGACAGTTGGAAAATTCCAGTTCTTTTCTTAATAGTTTTTGGTAGAGAAATCTCCTCTGGAGGGAAGGCTCAAATGTGCCCACAGATGCCCTCTTAAGAAGCCAATTCCTCTGTCCCTCAGTTTCCCATCATAATGGGAGAGACATTTTCTGAGATTTGACTGTGATTCTAGCTTACACACCAAACCTGGGAGGGACAAGAAAGGAAGAAAAAGTCTAGTGCTATAGAGAAGGAAAATTGAGAGAGAGCAGCTAAGGAGAAAAACAACAACAAAAAGTTCAAAAAGAGAAATGTGATAAGGATAATACCTTTGCCGACTCCAGCTTCAATGAAATGACTTCCTCTGTGTCTGAAGAAATGAGACGGAGCCAAGCTGCTTTGCCTTTTGTAATTGCCTTAAGTGGGTGTGGCGAAGACTACGTCACTTGGAACTTACAGGAAAGAATTCTGTCTGTATTCTTTATGTCAACTTGATACTGGCCAAAATAGACTGAGTGTGTACTTGATACTGTCAAATTGTTTGCAGATAGTCCAGGATTTTTTTTATTGACTAGGCTCATTGATTTATTACTTTGCTCTATACAATTATAAATATATAATCTCAGAAAAAGGAAAGAAGAGAAGGAAACATATGTTTCTAAAAAAATATAGTGAGGATAGAAAGGAAGAAATCCTAGAATCAGAATTATAGATGGTTAGAGTTGGAGGAAGGCTTAGTAGCTGTAGTTTGTATTTTGGCTTAATTTATTTATTGTACTCAGGCTACATGTGAACTGGCAGAATGCTTGACAGCCTGTTGGGAGTTAAGGGGTGACATCTGAGGAAAGATGACCCATCTTTTGTGAAGAGTGAGGTTTGCTTAACTAAGACATAAATCATGCTGAGTATGAGGTGATGATCTGCTTGTTAGGAAAAGGAGAGAAAAGTGATATTCTACCACAAAAGTCTTAACCATTTGCTCCTCTGAATACTGTCCACCCATTTCCTATAGAAATGACAGAAATTCAGGAGAGAAATTCCTCCCGTAGCCATGTTAGAACAAAGTGAGCTTATGCTAGAACACAGAGAAGTCTGGGCCTCTCCAGGATCAACCTAGGATGTATGAGGATAGCTGCAGACTTGGGGAGGAGTTGGCAAGCTGCTGGGCAGAAGCTAGTGGCTAGGGTCTTGGCAACACGATCTTTCAAGTCTGTAGTCTGGTAGTCAGTGCAGCCAATAGAACAGCTTCAGGGTACTTGGGGACCTCAAAAAGAGATCGAGGGAAGGGGCATCAGTGCTGACTCATTGTTACCATTAAAGGCCTTTTTGATATCCTGAGGCCGGCCCAGTTGAGGTCATAGAACACCAGACTGCTTAGCAGAAGAATATTTCAGGTTTCCTAGTGGGAGTTTGAACCACATAAAATTTATTTGTTTATTTATTTTCTCTCTCTCTCTCTTTTTTTCCTGTTGTGTTTTAGGAGCTCTGGTGGCATAGTGCCTAAGGCATTTGACTGCTAACCAGAAGGCTGGTGGTTCAAACCCACCAGCTACTCCTCAGAAGGAAGACTGGGCAATCTACTTCTATAGAGATACTGCCTTCAAAACCCAAGGAGGGGTCACTATGAGTCAGAACCAACTTGACGGCAGTGAGAGTGAAATTGTGCTTTGGGTGCAAATTTACAAAGCAAATTTGTTTTACATTCAACAATTCATGCACATTTGATTTCACACCCCAGTTACCATCCCCAACCATAAGAAACTCTCTTCCCCTCCCCTCCCTGTACCTACCCCCTCCCTGTCCCCTTCTTAACTATGCATTCTTGTGTATCCAGCTTTCCCTCTATGTGAATGTTGCTCCTCTGGTATCTCATGGCTGCATCTCCCTAGAGGTGGCTGCATTGCCCTGGGGTAGGTGTTCTGCATGTAGGTCTTTCTACTTACTGTTGGGCTGAGAGCCAACCCATGGAAGGGAGTCCATTTCTAGGCCCAAAGGGTAACCTGGGGCCATACTCTCAGGGGTTCCACCAGTCTCTATCTGATGAGTAATTCTGGTCATTTTTGTGTTTTTAAATTTTGTTCCACATTTTTCTTCCCAGTCTATCTAGGATCTCCAGTTTTGGTCCTTTTCTGAGTGGCTGGCATTGGTAGCCAGACACCATCTAGTTCTTCTGGTCTTGGGGTCATGAAGGCTGAGGACCTCCTCATGGTCCATCTTATCCTTGGACTAATTGTTTCTAGGTGTCTTTGATTTTCTTCACTCTTCTTTGCTTCAGATGAGAGGAGACCAATAATTGTGTGTTAAATAGCCAATCGAAAGCTCTGAAGACCCCAGCTTCTACTTACCAAAGTAGGTTGTAGAACAAGATTTTTATGTACTGTGTTGTGCCAGTTGAGCATGATGTCCCCCAAGACTATGGTCCTGAGTCTGCAGGCCCAGTGATTCTATCTATCAAGGTGTTTGGCAAGGTGTTTGGCTGTCTCTGAGAAGTTACTCCAATTCTATCTTCTGTTGCTTCTGTAATATATGTGGCTAATTTTGTAGCACAAGTACATATGTAAGATTATCTTCAGCTAAATCAATCTTTGGTCTAGGGTATATTCTTTTTTTTAATTTTTTTTTTTTTTTAGGATTTGGGTGAAGATGTACAGAGTAAATTCACTTTTCATACAGCAGTTCACATATACTTTGTCTCATGTCATTGACCAAAATTTACAATGCAGCAGCTCCCCTCCCACTTCCTCCCCATAGTTACTTCCTCCCAGTGTCCATCCCTTCATACTCTTCTGCACCCTGAGCTATCTCCCTGTGCATAAGAAGCCCTTCCTTCTCCCATGATTGTTCTCTCCAGGGCGTGTGTCTACTTGAGGTAAATGTTTAACTCACATGCCTGTACTTTGTTTGGCTGGAAACCACAGTTGTGGGTTCAATTCCAGACCTGAAGGGCAGCTAGGGGCCATAGTCTCAGTGGTTACAGCAGGCTCCATTGGACCAGCAAACCTGGTCCCCACCTTCTTTTTTTTTTTTTGCCTCCAAATGATTTTGAGTTTTGTACCACATTGTTCTCCCTCTTTATGCAGGATCTCCTACATCCCTTCCAAGTGGATGGCAGTGGTAGCTGGGCACCATCTAGTTCTTCTGGTCTCATAGTTGTATAGGTTGCAGATCGGATGGTGTACCAGTCGCTAGGACTGATTGTTTCCATTAATTTTGGTTTTCTTCTTTCTTCTTGACGAGGAGAGACCCATTGTTGCATCTAGATGGCAGCTTCCTAGCTTTTAAGGTCCCAGTCGCTACTCGCCAAAGTAGTAGGTGGAACAATGTTTTGTATAGTATGTTATGCCAATTGAGTTTGATGTCCCCTGCGACTATGGTCCCAAGCCCGCAGGATCAACTACTCGGTCCCTCTGGGTAGCTGGCTGTGACCAAGTAATGACCATAACCTTGCCCTAGGGTATATTCTTGTTTACCTACCCCTAACTGATCTTCTCACCTGTCTATACATTTATCCATAGCTGGTGTTTGGTGTTAGTTAATGCAGTATTGTGCATGTAGTAGCATTTGTCTCTGTTGTCTAAATCTTATGTGCATGTTTCAGTGTCCTTCCTTTCCCCAGTGTCATCACGCTGGTCATAGACTCTTTCTATACCATCTCTCCCCTTACCCAAATTAACCTGTGTTCCCCAACTAGTCTGAATTTTTCCCTCCCCTTCTCTCCCATCCCCAGTAAACAACAGAGTGCATTTCCTTCCTTGAGTCAACCTTTCCTTGACTTGTTACAATAATGGGCTCATACAATATTTGTCCTTCTGTGATTGACTTATTTCACCAACATAATGTTCTCCAAATTCATCCATGTGGTGGGATTTCATGTATTTTTAATATTCTATTGTGTGAATGTACCATAGTTTGGTTATCCATTCATCTGTTGATGGGCATTTAGGCTGTTTCCATCTCTTTGCTATAGTGAGTTGTGCAGTGATGAACATGGGTGTGCATGTGTCTGTTCGTGTCCTGTCTCTCACCTCTTTAGGATATATTCCTAGTAATGGAATTGCCGGATCAAATGGTATTTCTAGTTTCAATTTTTTTAAGGAAACACCATACTATTTTCCATAATAGTCGTACCATTTTGCAGTCCCACCAGCAGTGTATGAGAGTTCCAATCTCTCTGCAACCTCATCAGCATTTGTTATTTTCTGTCTTTGAACTTTGCTATTGTTTCTGGGATGATAAGCTATCTCATTGTTGTCTTGATTTGCGTCTCTCTAATGGCTAATGATGGTGAGCATTTCCTCATATGTTTGTTGGCTGCCTGTATATCTTCTTTAGTGAAGTGTCTGTTCATGTCCCTTGCCAATTTTTGATTTGGATTGTTTGTCTTTTTGGTGTTGAGGTGTTGAAGTTTTCTATAAATTTTGGAGATAAGTCCCTTGTCAGATATGTCATAGTCAATTTTTTTTTTCCAATCTGTAGTGAACCACATAAATTTTAAGTAAAGGAAATGGCTAGAAGAAGAGGGAAGAGGAGAGAAAAGGCAGAGAGAGAAAAGTGAGACAATTGATATATGGGATAAAACATAATATAACAAAGAAAAAGAAAACCCACAAAACTAGAAGTAAGGTGGCTTTTGCGAGTTTGGTAAAGTATTTTACCAAATTCTCTCTGGCACTGTCTAATT